TGGATGCATCTTGATTAAATATGTAGCGTCCAGCAATGATCGGTTTAGGTACAGCCCGACCTTTCACCATCTGTTAAACAACGGGTCAGAAAGGAGACACAACATTGCGCGTGTGTTCCTTTTAAAATGAGTCTGCCTTCACACCAGCTGGGACTCACAAGTCTGAAAGATAAACAATAACTTTCTTTCCCCAAGGTCCCATCTGTCTGCCTCCAGAAGAAAGAAGAACTCCAGTTGCTAAATTCAAGAATGATTTACTAAATCAAAGTGAACTTCTTCCATGACTTGTAACCTAATCATTAAATAAACGTTTGTTTATTGCTACTTACAATCATTATATAGTAATGAAATGCTTCGTTAATCTGTGCACACTGAACGGATGTTATATTATGGTGTCAACTAGAACCCGCCATGTGTTCAACATGTTTTGACGAAGGTCCCACACCTGCATCCACAGTAACAAGTACGGCTAAGTTAGACTACAACACATAACTTGCCTTTTTAACCAGTCAGGCTTTCCGATATCAGAGAGGGTGTTTCTGAGTTGTCTTGGTAAAATATCTCCAAACTTATGTTTATGTTTATGTATTTAGCAGACGCTTTTGTCCAAAGCGACTTACAAGTGATAACCAGCATGTTGCCCTTGAGGCTAACAACAACAACAACAACAACTTGACATCAATCATGGAGAGGCGGGAACAAGGAGTGGACAGTAGAGAGGGGGGGCGGGTGCGGGGAGGGTGCTAGTTTAGAAGATGCTCTCTGAAGAGCAGGGTCTTCAGGAGTTTCTTGAAAATTGAGAAGGAAGCCCCTGTTCTGGTAGTGCTTGGAAGGTCATTCCACATTTGTGGAACGATGCATGAGAATTTGTCAGCCTCTGATTGGCTGTCCAAATAATAACAGCTAAACCTTCAAACTAGAACATTCTGAGTGATTTGACAGTTCTAGAGAATCGCTTCAGACCGGCCATCTGTAGCAAAACCTCTTTAACCATCAAAGATTTTGACACGTCGTCAAAACCTTTTTGCACCTGCAAAGCTGATGAGCAAACAGTTCCTGCAGAAACAAAGCTAAGATCGTTAGACTCCTTAAGAGTCCGCCAGACGCACGGTTCCATCCAGCTGTTGTGACCCGAGACATCTCTGGACTGAAGAGTTGGTACCACGGTATTCTACAGCCCTCCGGTGCCAGAGGTCAGCCGACCCCTGCGACTTTCAGATCCACCAAGAGGGTCTCTCCAAAATGGGTAAAGTAGACATGACAGATTGCGTTTGATGTTCTTCTGATGACAAGAACTTAATAGCTTAGAGCAAACCAAATTATTTTCACCAGAACTCAGCTTACTTTGATAAGGAAGCTCTGACTGACATGGCATTCACACATAGGTTCCTTCATCACGTTTAGTTACATGCACTCACAGTAAATGCTTAGTTAATTAGTCATGTTTTAATTGTTTGTAAAATAAATTCTTACTTTTATAAACTTGAATCTTTTTGAAGTCACACGAAATGTGGTTGATCACTGAAAAAGCAAAGAACCTAGATCTTCTGAATTAAATCCTAGAATCTTCTGAATAATCACAATAAAGACCTAGCAGGTTAATATTTTATATTTATATAGAACATTACATCTTCCTGGTCAAAACAAATAAAATCATTAATTTGCCTCCACTACAAATAGTACATAGCATTTTGCATCATCTAACAAAAGAGATGCTTTCTTGGGAACAAAAACAACCCCCCACGAACCGGTAAGAGTCACGTTTAGCATAAACACTCCAAAACAAGATGCCTTCAAACTTGACTGAACCTTGCAGCTGCCAACATGGACTTCTTCTAGACAAAAACATTGGTCAAATGGGATACAATCTGCATTATTTTTCCACAGTATCAGGAATTATGTTTGGTGGAGTCAAGGTGAGGCAAAGGACACTGTTCCAACTGTCAAAGATGGTGGTGGCAGCATGATGACGTGGAAAAAGGAAATGTATTTCAAAATTCTTCAAAACCAACTAAACTTGTCTAGATTGTTGAAACTTGGACGTAGTTGGATGTTTCAACAGGACAATGACCCAAAACACACATAAGAGAGCTGGTCACATATGAAGTTAAAGTACTTCTAGTCATCAGACACTGGTGAAATTCATCTCCGCATGTGACCCATCCCCGTGGGGCATGGTGAACTGCAGCTGTGGTCGTGCTCAGGAACTATTTGGTGGTTTAATCTGCCCACCCTGCAAAGGATTATGTGAAATTATCTAATCAGAGAGAAACAAGAGCTGATGCGTGACCATGCCATGGGAGCTAAAACACAAAATAAGGCTCAGTAACTCTAACCAGTCCTCCTCCTAGTGTACTTGGACTTCGATGAATTTGTTGGAATTAACTTTACAACTTTTTGCATGAATGGAAAACATTTCGACAGTTTTCGGCGTTATGAAAGGTGTGCTGGCGTTTCAGGGGTTTAGTTCAACGGAGCACTCAGAGCAGATCATGTCCACCATGTTCTCGAGAAAATACCGACCTGTCAGACACCCGCCTGCAGACCTGACTGCTGATACAAATCTATAAATAAAAACACACACACACACTTCTTCACTCTAATCCTAGCAGTGAAAACAAAAAGTTCCCAGTATAATGATTTATAAAGCTTAGAAATAAAGTGTTTTGCCTGTATTGTCACTAATCAGTGACTCTGCTGGTTCCTTTAACTGATTTGCTTGATGAACTGAAAGTTTACTTTACGAAGTGCCTTGACGCGAATCTTGTCGTGATTTGGCGCTATATAAATAAACCGAATTGAATTGATGCTTTTATTTCTTCAACCACCTGATTCATTGTTTTGAAAGTCAAAAAAGGAAAAACTGGATGAACATCTGCAACTGAGCAACTGTTGGGGTAAACCCAATTCAAGGTGGCTTCTCCAGCCAACTGACATTAGAAAACACAAAAATGGAGCTAAGCAGGGCAGCGCGATGTGTCCGCATCAACATCGGTACTGGCCGCTGTAAGTTTTTCACAGATAAATCAGTATTAGCCGATCTGTATTGGATCGATGTTCATTTCCATGTTCAATAAGTGCTATTTCTCAGTTCTAACGGCAGTATTAATATTGGATATTGATACCGGCCCAAATGTTCACATCCTTAGAAAATGTCCATTTTAGAAGTATTGGGTTAAAGGATGAGGCTTATTCCTCACAAATATTAAAAGAGCAAAATAATCGCAAAATATCTTTGAACATTTTTCATAAACTGTTGGAGTCAACCCAATTCAAGACAAACATCAGACCTAAATGACATTAGCAAAAATTAAAAATAAACACTATTACTCTGTTACTTTTTAAAATTTGGAGCTGGATTCATTCCCAACAAATGCTCTGACTGTGAAGTGATTCCAACAGTTCTTTGGCCTTGACATTAAAGGTGAACTATGTAAAAATGACATCCTGTGGTCAGATTTGGTTACTGCAGCTAGTTTTCAAAATAAAACAAGTGACTTTCTCACTACCGTTCGTGAGTTTTGTGCCTTTTGTCAGCTAGGGATCAGCATCAGAAGATTCTAGATGATGACAGAAGATGAGTCATGCTCAGTAAGTTGATAAATATGTTTCACTGTAATAACGAGTTATTTGTAATAAAATAAAAAAGTAGCTTGAGATATTTTCTGTACTAACAGACTTAAAATGTTTTTTTTAAAGATTTGACCAAAACAAGTTTGACTCCTAGCTATTCGAAGTGAAGCTCTTTGTTTAGAACGGTACCGTGAAAGGTTCATTTCTCCATCCTCTTTACTTTTGTACCACACGACCTGTTGCCGCAAGCAAGGCAAAATTATTATTGGCCAGTTTTATTTGTCCTTGACAAAGCATACGGCAAATTGGCAAAATGTTTTTGAATGTAAAATGAGAGCTAACTAAAAAAAAAGGTGTGCTTGGCAAATGTTTACACAGCACAATCATAATCACACCCGCAGAGAAAAGCCGAAGCACCAGCCTTCAAACAGTTTGGATAAGAAACATCTAGCTGGAGGCTTTGGGTCGTTAAAAATTCCTAATTTTCAAGAAGTGAAGTGTTTGGGTTCCTTAAGGATTTAGAGATTTTATAACGATAATGGTTTGCAATCCAAATAAAACGAATGATAAAGTAAACAACTCAGTCTTCTCTTCTAAAAAGCATCTATTTTGGTATGTTTGTTAGCAGACTTCAGACTCGCCAGAGGTTATTATGTATAAAACTGGGGCCCAATTACCTATTCTAGGTGCATTTGTTCTCTACAAAATATTTCTCAGTTTTAAAGATAAGTGGTTCCTTCAGAGCAGCCCTCGCCTTGTTTGATTCACCTGTTCCTTGGGAACAATCAGGAGGCGAGGGATGCCTCTCAAAAGAATGCGGCAAAACTTGGCTCGGCGGCTCGGTGTGGTAAAAGCAGACGGGCGGAGGCTTAGGAAGAGAAGCAATTGGACAGAAAGCTAAAAAGAGCTGTATTCTATTACCACTGATTTTCCCCTTCACGTCTCTCAGGCGACCTTCCCGTCTGTTTTTACTCTGCTCCGTGGCATCCACAGAGCCGTGAACTCCTCTCCTCAGCGGGCGACCGTGAGATCTTCTGGCTGAGAGCTTATAAAAGCCCTGTGATTGCAGAACACCCCAGAGCTAGGTATTCACCTGACACTGGAACCGTTGCCGTGGCAACGCTCACTGCTGGCCATAGGCAGGCAGAGTCGAACACACAGGAGGTGGAGAGCGGCAGCGGATGGGCGGGTAATCCATTTTTCAACACAATGCGCAAACACGCTAAAGCTCTAGGACTCTTGTGTTCATCTCAGACTGGATTCCTCACGCTTGCCACGCCCACTTCATGTATTGGTACTGTTATTGCCCCTCAAACGTACTCAGAGCAACTTTTTGGATCTTGGAAATGTGAGCTTTGTGGGTTTGTTAGTGGAGCGGTGAGAAACTCATAAGAAATGCTAACAAACATATTGATTACTCTAATTACCTTCATTGTCCTTCAGGGTGAAGTTGGGATTAACCGGGAGGTGGCTGGGCAGAGCGAAGGAAAACCTCTGTCCGTTGGCAAAGTCGTCCTTATCCACCGCTGTGACGGTCTGGATCACCTGGAGGACACAAAGAGGAGACACTGACTTTAAAAGGACCTGTGTGCCGCGGTGAAGTGTGCTTCTGTGTAACAGTGATACGCTCGTATTGCTGTAGCTTTCCAAATGGCCTCGGTTTGGAGAAGTACAGGTTATGACTATAGGACGGATGAGCTAACGGCTATCCAATAAAGTAAAATAAACTAATTGAGAATAATATGGATGCAACAAAGGATCAACACACTACAATATCACTGTGTGCCTTATGTTATGATAATAAATTGATATTTAAAAGCAGTGTATTGATTTTTTTATTGAGAATTTTCATGAAAACGTTTACTCTTTCTTTTCTGTGCTGCAGTTCAAACTCTGACTGCTAGTTGGCTGCCATGCTCCTATTAAATGTAGTCACAAAAATTACCTAAAAACGATTTGGCTTTCCGTAAATCACATTATCCCCCTGTTGTTTGACATATTGTGTACAGGTACACACCACTAGAAAATAACAAAGAAAAAAGTGACCATTAGATTATTAGCTATGTTTTTTTAATTTGAAGCAGTTTAAAAGAGCAGATTTTCTAGAGCACTCAGACTCCCCGTTAGCTCATCAGTCCAACAGAACGTACAAGCTAACAGCAGCTTTTCAGCAGTCTATGGCTATGGCAACTCAACTCTGTCTCCTATCCCAGCCTGAGCAGGACTGCGGGAAGGCCGCTGAAGCGTCCAGGGTCACTGCAACCCTCCAACCCTCAATGCTCCTCCCCCCATCCACACTGAGGTGACATGTGCTGCTTATCATGGCTGCAGGAACTGAAGTGGGGATAGTCCCACCCCACCACCCCACCTAGTGGACACTTGTGTTATGTGATGTCTGAAGTCCGTTGCATTTCTGTCTGAGGTGTTTTTTTGCAGTGCAAAGCTGCCCACCTGGTGGGAGGGTAACTGTGAAGTGCCTTTTTTCCCTCCACCTGAACCAATCCTCATGTTACCCTCTTATCTCTATTAAGGTAGCGCGGCTCAGGGTTGCGAATGACCACAGTCACCAATTCTTGTCATGTGTCTTGCCCATGTATGTCTGATCTCTGAATTGTGCGTACTGAAACTCTAATTTCCCTCTGGGATTAATAAAGTATCTTTGATTGATTGATTGATTGATTGATTGACTGATTGATTAAAAGTAAACTAGTACGGTAACTATTAAAATAACTTTGACACATGATGCATTTCAAAATGGCTCACATATACTTCTTAATATCAGCACTGATTGAGAATTGCTGGTTAGTTCTGAGAAACGTCACGGTTGGTTGATCAGAACTAATTAGAGTAAAGTTCATTTAAACAACAATAAGGTCAATGTGTTAATATTTACCTCTGAACAAATCCTTTATAACTGCGAAGTTCAAACTGGAGTCAAACAGACTGTAGGAAAGTAGTCATCACACCTCAGCCAGATTAGCTGCTGCTACCTCTGGATTGTTCCATTATCACAGGAATTTTAACTAACCATTAAAACAGTTTAGGGGGTGCTGGAAACTCGCTGACACAACAGGTCAGTGGCTCCATGAAATCTGCTGGGTGCCGGGCCCAGGTCTTTCAGCGTCGCCATATTAGCTGTGATGTTTCCTTCTACAGAAGCCCGTGAGGACAACATGCTCTTAAAATTTGATGTGTTAGTCATTTTGCTGGAGGTTGTGCTCCCGGGGATTTTTTTTACCCTAATGGCTATCTGTTGGTAAGGTCTTACTCAAACACAAAAATAACAACACATTCTCACACCCGAAGCAGCTGAAACTGACGAAGCGTGAGCAAGCGTTTGTGTCCATCGTCCGTCGAGAGGCGACGCGCTGTGCCCGAGCGTTGCTTTCCGACGCCTGCGGAGATTTTAGCGAATTGTGACCTTTACCCTCTTGCTATTTAGCCTTCCTCTCACCCCCATCCAAACCGTAACTCACTTGCATGTGCAAAAATGTGTTTCTTGTTGTATCGTTCCTCTCAAACATGGTTAAGGGGAAATTAGAAAGAGAAACTGAGTTAAGGTTAGGATGGGGGGAAGAGAAAGGTTAAATGGCTAGAGGTTAGAGGTTAACTCATTCAACGCCATTGACTACTAAAGTCCATCCATCCATCCATTTTCATCCGCTTATCCGGAGTCGGGAAGCGCGGGCAGTAGCCTAAGGTGAGAGGCCCAGACTTCCCTCTCCCCAGCCATTTAGACCAGCTCCTCCGGGGAGATCCCAAGGCGTTCCCTGGCCAGGTGAGAGACGTAGTCTCTCCACCGTGTCCTGGGTCTCCCTTTAGGTCTCCTCCCGGTTGGATGTGCCCGGAAAACCTCACCAGGGAGGCGTCCAGGAGGCATCCTGACCAGATGCCCGAGCCACCTCAACTGGCTCCTCTCGATGTGAAGGAGCAGCGGGTCTACTCCGAGCCCCTCCCAGATGACTGAGCTTCTCACCCTATCTCTAAGGGAGAGCCCAGCCATACTGAGGAGAAAACTCATTTCAGCCACTTGTATCCGCGATCTCGTTCTTTCGGTCACTACCCAAAGCTCATGACCATAGGTGAGGGTAGGAACGTAGATCGACCGGTAAATTGAGAGCTTCGCCTTCTGACTCAGCTCTCTCTTCACCACGACAGACCGGTACAACGCCCGCATCACTGCAGATGCAGCACCAATCTGCCTATCGATCTCACCCTCCAGTTTTCACTCACTCGTGAACTAAAGTCTTCATTTTAAATCCAACCGTTCACTGCCAAAGACGACTACAGTCGTCATTTGCATGTTTTTACTGTGTGGGCATTGGAACGAGCCCCCGCACCGTGAGAACAAACATCTCAGCTCTGAAGCCGATCTTCATCCGCATACGTCACACGTCACATGATCAGGAAGCAGAAAATCCATGTGTTAGGAGATCGTTTTGGGCCGTTCCTGTAAAAAAAAAAAGTGAGGCGCGAACCGGAAAAGCTTCTGCCGATCACAATTCAACAACGGATTATGAAAGAACGGATAACGCTCGAAACACGCGGATTCTTCCTGATGTAAGAGGTGAGTGTCCGCTTTGTTTTGGTTGTTTTGGTGTCGACATCATGCTAGCACGCAACGTTCTGTGACTCTTAAAAAAACTGTAAAAAAGGTGAGAAACACTGGCAGCGAAGGGCTTTATGATCAGGAAACGGCTGGCAGTAAATGAGATAAATATCGGTGAAATGTCTGTTTTACAGCAGGCGACGGAAAGCAACGCGTTGGAAACTAATTCTTGGTCACCCTTCGTCAGTTTCAGCCGCTTCGGGTGTGAGAAAGTGTTGAAAATAATGCTTACTTGCAAAGATTTAGGTATGTCCTAACCCCTATCACCAGGGAAAATACACACAGTCACTTTAAAACAGCAATCTGGAGTTTTCCCCCTTTCAGGAATTATGTAGCTTTGTTTAGAATTATGTAAAAGTTATAGTCTGTTCTGTGATATAATGGAGGCAATATGTCTTTTTTATTTAATTTTTTATTTTTTTGCTAAACCTGCCCCACCCCCCCCCCACCCCATCCCCTAGAGTTTCATGTAATCTGAATTGAAGGTCGCTCAGCATTAGCCGGTAGGACATCCATCTATAGAGACATCAGTCAAAGGTTGTGCATGAGCATTTGCAGAAGCACTTATATGTAAAAAATCACAAGAATGATTGTAAAACAATGTCTTTTAGGCTAGCTAGAGATGCTCACCCACTCACAAACAAGAGGCGTTGCTTCCAGCCATAAATCACGGAAGTAGCAGGAGGAGCTTAAGCTGCAATACAATTTACTACCTCTAGATGGTGCCATCTGAGAAAAAACTCCAGATTTCTGCTGTAAATTCTCAAAGTTTAACTAACAATAATAAAACCTAGTTGAATAGGAAATGTTTCAGTCAGATGCAGCCCTTAAACACATTTTAATTTGTTTATAATCAGATAAAAAAATAAACTAGCCCAAACCCGCCACTACAATAAATTAAATAAATCATCCAAATACAAAACAGTAAACCAGATATTGTCTATTAGCCTGAAAATGCCAGTCTGAGTGGGTGATGAAGTGTGTTTTTGCTTTAGTTCATGCATTATTTTCTTGTTTGCGTTTATTTAGTGAGATGTTTGCTTGTTGACAGATAAGTCTGACTGCCGACGGTGTAAAAATATGTCAGTACCAACTGAATAATAAATGTACTATTTCAAACTATTTTGCAGTATTGTTTTTGCATTCCTACGCACAGAAATCAGAGCTCAGATGAGATTTTGCTGCTGGTATGCACTCGGAAAACCTGCTGGAATTCAAATTAAAGAGACAATAACCTTTGGAAACATTCAAATGGTCCTGACATGGAAACTGAAACCCAAAAGCTGTGTGAGGGGAAAAAAAGGAGTGTTTATGTTCCGTTCTGTACATTGTCAGCTGAAGGTTCAACTTTCCTCAAGAAATTATAATCCGTCCTGTTTAATCCCCTGAGTCAAGAACCCTTAGCTAACGATTTAACCTTAATTCAAATTGAATGCAAACTTCGATGAAACTTTTCTTCCACCAGCTTGGAACCATTAACAATTTATCTAGTTGTGTGTTTCCAGTCTTAACTCCATTATACTTTGCAGAACCACCCTTTCAGCCATTTCCATGCTGCTGATTGCTCTATATCTCACAAACCTTCTCAATTTGAATGAATCAAAGACTACTGAGAGCAAATTGGAATGAGCTTCAATTTAGAGCTGTCATGCTTTGCTGCTGAGATACTCATTTTTGAATAAGGGATGATTAAGCAGCTCTCTGTCAGAGTCGTTACCGCTCTGGTCTCGCCGAGCGACCCAAAACGCTGAGGGAAACAAGAGTTAAGAAGTGAGTGCAAGCAGTCGGGGGAATGAGGGCCAGTTTACTGTGCAGCACCACACATTTTTTTTACTGAGAAGTCTTTGGTAAAAAGGGAAAGCAGATTAGTCTTCCTCCTGATGAACCCAAGACTCTCACCTGTCCAGGTCTCGAGTTCTCACAGACAATGACTTCCTCTTCGGTTGATACTTCTGGTGGATTGTCATTCATGTCCAGAACCTGGACGGTAACAGGAACATGTCTGTTCAGGTTGGGGTTATCTGCAGAAAAGGGAACATGAACAAAAGAAGTCACATGTAAGCAAAATGAAACACAGAGACACGTTTGAGTTTGAACCAGCTTGCCCGGGTCACAGATGAAGATCCTTCAGCTGTAGAAAGTTCCCAGCATACAGTTTTTAATCATCTAAGCAGGTGTGCAAGATATGCAACCTAGACATCTCACGAGGCTTAAAGGGGATGTCATCTGCATAGAGGTGGTAGGAGATTCCTTTAAAGAAGCTAAGGATGTGCTGGAGAGGGCACCAATGTTTCGCCCAGTTTCACCACCATTATCTCGGTTAAAGACATTTTTGTGTTAGCACAAACTACATGGATGTGGCAGCCATCTAGAATTGGGTTGACTGCAACAATCAAAGTGACAATACAGTTTTTTAAACTTTAAGTTAGAGCTTTAAAATTTATGAAACTTGACCAGTTTCGTATTTTACACAACTCTGCTGCCCTCTGCTGACCAAAAGCTGGACTGGATTGTTTTGTGGAGCAGGTAGGTGCTCTATAGGGGGCACTCTTTATCTGCTTCATGGGTGTTAGCTGTTATGCTAGCATATAGCATTTTCAGGTTGATGATCGTCAATTAAAAAAAACACAAGAAGAAAAAGAAGGAAGTGTGCTTCTTTGTTGTCATCATGGTGGAGCCTGGAAGTAAGAGTAAGAGAGTAATGTCTTTGGAAGAGAAGCAAAGAGCTAAAACCAGAGTAAACATCAGCAAGGTCTACACTAGTTTAAGGGAGCTAAATGAGGCTACTAAATCACAGACTGATGGTGACCTGGCTTTGTTGCTACTTGACTTGTAAGTAATAATATTTTTTGTCTAACAGTGTGGAACTTTTAACTTTGTGGTTTATTTTAGGATTTGTTGGCTGATGTTAGCTCGTTGTTAGCGTTAGCTACAGCAGGATTGTTGACGATAGTTGTAAAGGTTTGTAAATGTGCAAGACACATTATTTTTTCTAAAAGTTAAACAAAATCTTTCCAGTCGTTCATATGCTTCTTTGCTAAAAATCATGCTTTGTGGACGCTCAGCTGCTACGATACCAGTTAATAGTCAGTATCTTTAAAACACTGTGAGGTTATAGTAACGCTTTCATGGACTATCATAGAAAAATAACAATAATACATCCAAAAGGCTGAATATTTAGTAAAGTAAAAAACAAATTAGTTGCATGAGATTGTAATAAATGGGTCTCGGGTGCTACCGCACAAAATGTTGGCTGATTAATTGTAAAATTGAAATATTTCCAAACACTTTTGGTGTTTACTAATGTTGATTTCCTCATCTAATCATCTTTAACTCATTCACTGCCATTGACGACTAAAGTCGTCATTTGCATTATTTTACTGTGTGGGCATTGGTACGAGCCCCCGCATCGTGAGAACAAACATCCCAGCTCTGAAGCCTATCTTCATCCGCATACGTCACATGTCACATGATCAGGAAGCAGAAAATTCATGTGTTACAAGATCGTTTTGGGCCGCTGCTGTAAAAAAAATTGAGGCGTGAACCGGAAAAGCTTCTGCCGATCACAATTCGACAACGGATTATGAAAGAACGGAAAATGCTCAAAATGCGCGGATTCTTCCTGATATAAGAGGTGAGTCTACGCTTAGTTTTGGTTGTTTTGGCGTCGACATCATCCTAGCACGCATTGTTCTCTCACTTAAAAAAAAACTGTAAAAATGGTGAGAAACGCTGGCAGCGAATGAGTTAATAAATACTGTTTTTGGTGGACAGAGACAGAGTGATATACAGTTCTATTGAGAGAGGAAAAAAAAACATACACACATAAAACCTGAACATATGAGATCAGGTCACATTTGACCCGTTGGTCAGTTTTACATCCCAGGTGTATGCATATAGAATATATTTACTGTGCCAGACTCATGGATGTAAATTTGGGGGGGGGGGGGGGGGGGGGGGGGCATGTCCCCCTCCTCACTTTTTCCAAAGTCAAGTTTTGACCCCTGCACCTTTTACCATCCAAAAAACAATATTACGCTATATTAAATTGACACTGGTTGAGCTCTAGGACCAAGCAGAAAACAACAATTTGTGTTGAAGCCTGTTTACCATTAGAACATACTGTAAGGATCCCCCCCCCCCCCCCACCACCATGTCCCCCCACTTCCAAAGTTAAAATTACGTCCATGGCCAGACTGGAAAAGCCTTTCACTTCAAGGCAAGTTAGAAGATGCAGGGCGTTTTTTGGAGTAAGGTGTTTGGCTGCCAAGTCCTGAGGAACCTGTTTAGACAGTTGAGTGGTTTTACTGGGTAACTTCCAGAAGTGATCATGAATTCTGCTCAGAGAGAGCAGCAGAACACTAGCAGACAGAAACAGCACGTTTTCTCAACAAAACCATCATATGTGAAAAACAGGCTAGCAGGGGCAAAAGGCCCCTGGGAAATTATCTGCAATGAACCTTTATTTGTTACCTTGCAGATAAAAAAACTCAATGCATATTAGTATAATCACATGCTTGTAAACATTTTTCCAGCGTTTACACCTTTCATGTGTCCGATGCAAGTCGATGAGACGTTTCTGAACGTCTGGCCTAAGGTTGGTTTATGCTTGACGCGTCCGCGAGGTCCGCACGGCTCCGCGTGGAAAAGTTGCGTCATTTTGCGTCATTTTAACAACCACGCCCCTCCACCGCGCCTCCGCACGGCCCAGAATTTCCGCAACGTGCACCTCGGAAAATTTCTAACCACGCGGACGGACGGACGCGGAAAACATGGTGGACCGGCAAGAACTAGTACGGCAGAGGTTCGTAAACACAGACATTTGTATGATTCAGCTCTCAAAGATCACCGTGATCAACATGTTGTTAATAATTCTTGGAGAGAAATAACTCGCACTGTCGGAAAAGACGAGAACGCTGTTAAAAATGCTGAAATGCTGTGTTGTAAACAGTAATTTCTACTTCTACTATGGTGTAGTGTTGGATGCATGCCGTAGAGCTCCATGCTGCCCCCTACAGTTTGGGAGAATATCGGCTCACCGCAGAGACAAGCCGCATGAACCATAAACGCTGTGAGTTGTTAAGCGCGTTCCATCCGTGAGCCGCATCACCGCGTGGAAAGTGAATGCGTCAAGCATAAACCAAGCTTTATGCTCTAAACTGCTGTTGAATCGTGCAGAGGAATTTGACTTCCTCCCTTTCCGTGAGTCCGTGCTCATTCAAAGAGGTAAAACAAACGTCTAGTGTCTTGGAGTATTACTGCTCACTGAATGCTAAGGAGAGACAAAAAGATAAAGAAACATTGGCGTTTGAGCCCCTGTTCATTCACAGATTTGTCTAAATGTGATTAGAAATTAAAATTACCCATGTCACCTCAAACTGGGGCTGGGTGGGGGCTTATTAACTTAAACACTTTTCAGAAAAGGGAAGGACGTTTAAACAATTGGAACTGATTTGATTTTAAAGACAATTATAAAGAAATACACTCCATCCTGTTTAAATAAGCTCTAATCAGTATGCAAATGAAGTCCACCCACTATTTTCTTTTAATTGTTCACTTAACTAATAACTGAATTGGGATTGTGTTGATTCCTTCTACATATACTGTTTAAACTTTGAGCTACACTGCTAACTGGGTGCTATTACAACAATTTTTGCTAGTTAACTGAGTTATTTTTTGCCAATAGTTGCCTTTTTTTTCCAAATTTGCATAATTTTTTTGAAGTGGATGATAATTAAATACAATTGTAGTTTAATTAAAACAATGTGCTTTACACATAACTAGGTTGTACAGTTGTTTCCTGTGGTTTTTCAAAACAGCAAAGGCTTTCTTTGAAAACCTTCCATCTTAAAGACTCAAAGTTCATGACTGCTGTTCTCAACCTTGAAAATGGCTGTGATTATGCTTAAGCTACAGAGAAGTATGGACAGAACGCTTCTATCCCCGTCTTTTCTTTAACAGTGAAACCACAATATCCTGTTTACGGGTGCTGCCATGTTTGAAGGCAGATTTGTTCGGGGTTTGAACTTGCAGATATGGAACTGAAGGTCTTCCCAATCCACTCCAACAAAACCATGATGCATTCATTAAGCATTAAATAATTAGTCAGGAAACAGCCTGCAGTTTCGGTAGCAACAGTATAACGGCACTAGGTCAATGGTACTAGTCCCTCCTTTCATTAACATTGTATGAGTGCATTTTGCACGTCTTGGCCGCTCTTGCCGACCCGTGTTACATCAGCAGAACAAAAACAGTATTTAAAGATTTCACTCAACACATTCACCTCATCTTTAACGCCATATTATGCAACATTTTCACAATTTCAAATCATTTTCTTGAGCCAGTATGTGCTAAAATGATCATTTTACAGGGTTAATGAAATGTCACAGCTCTCACTGCCTTCCGTGGCGAGAATATCACACTTGCAACCTCAGAGTGGCAAGCTGCCACCTTTTGGACTAAGAAAATAAAAGGAGATGACACGCCTGACACTGCAGTCTGCTTCTGTCACGTTTCCTGCATGATTTTGATCATGACCTCAGCTGATTTGTTTAATTTAGTGATGAGCCACTCCTGTAGACACTAATGAAGGCTGGGAAGACATTTATTTTAAGGTGTTAAAACAACAAACACACAGCGAGGAGATGCAATTCACTTTTGGTTTCACCAAGTGCACACTAGGGGGTGCTAAAAGCAGATCAAAACCCAAGTAACTGCTGTAGATTATTTCTGCAAATTAACGTCAAAGCAAACATCCAGATGGAGTATCAGGCTTAGTACCTTCATCAGAAAGTTATACATGTCTACTGTCCTCTGCTGGAGGACCTACAGGTGGCAAGGGCCCATTTTATTTCTTTATTACTGTTACACTGTTATAAAATCACATAACTAAATAAAATGTTATTTAATAGTTGTTATATTAACATTAGACAACACACCTGCTCAATGTTTCATCATTCGTGCTTTAAAGCAGAGGAGTCAAACTTCAGTTTCCGAGGGCTGGTAAACTGCATCCTTTAGCAGTTTCCTTGAATCACCTGTGCAGCAGCTCATCAGGCTCTCCAGAAGCCTGTTAATCACCTGCTGATTGAATTCAGGTGTGTTTCAACGGGGAAATCACCAAAACTTGTGGGAAAGAGGCCCTCGAGGACTGGAGTTTGACACTTGTGCTTTAAAGGGTTGAACTGGCACTGTAAGGCTACAATAACATAAACCTCATAAATATCTTTTATTTTGTGTTCTTGTAACAAAAGACCAAAAACTTTGCTGCTAAAGGACCTTGTAGCACAGGAAAAAGTCTGAACTCAACTTTTAAAATTTATTAGAGGATAAACTGCCCCCAAAATCCCATTTGGTATTAGCACAACACGAGAAGCAAATCTAAAGTGAGAATATCATCTACTAGGGTATCATTTGATGAAGATTTATAGATATTTGAAAAAAAAAAGAGGCTACAACCCCAAAAAAGCCCAGTGGGAGTTGTTGCTGCATATTTGCTTTGAGATTAAGTAAAACGTAATTTTACGGCGAAAAGCGGCTCAAAACGTAGTTATAAACCAATTTAAGCAAAAGTAATAAAAAAAAAACATTTTGATTATGTTACAATGAAGTCAAGGTAATTTGTAAATTACATGTTGAATATCTACATTTTGCTAAAGATATTATTCTGTGAGTAAAGAGAGCCTATCTGGTGCTGATTCATGTACTCACAGGGTTTTTATGGAACCTTCTTTATTGATATTGATTTTGACTCTGGTGTTCCTCTCTATGAATTTGAACCCAGCCTGCCCTCTCGCTGTTGCATCCCCTAAGGGTGTCTTGTTATCTGGTGGGAATAAGAAGAAAAACGGGAGACCCTGCCTTTTATTTTTTAATTGTTTCGATCTAAATCACGTTGTTGTAAAATAAAGCTAGTTGATGGCTTGAGTGCACTTCTGATCGTTTACTAGCTCGAGGCCAAACATCAAGAGTTTAGATAACCGGAGTCTGAAGTTTTCACCACAGCTCAGCATGATGAGCAAAACAAGTCAGGAACTGCTTTCGCTGTCAATCTGATGCTTGAACACAAGCAAAGGAAACGAACATGATGCTTTATGCTGGCGCCATGGCCCAGAAGGACCTTTATAAGTTTTACTGAGAGCATTAGATGGTGGTTTATTTGTATAAGTAATATTTACAAATGCACATGGGTACCTACCAACCTCCGAGGCCATTACAGTGATGTTGTGCCAAGGCGTGTCTTCTCTGTCCAGAGGCTGCATGGTACGTATAACTCCACGGATTTCATCTATTCTGAAGTATCTTTCTCCGTCCTCCTTGCTGTCCATGAAATACCTGTTTGGAAAATATTAAAACAATAAAAAACAATAATAACAATCCATCCATGCATTGTCCTCAGATTATCTGTGGTTGGGTCGTGATGGCAGCAACCTAAACAGAGAGGCCCAGACTTCCTTCTCCCCAGCCACTTGGGCCAGCTCCTCCAGGGGAATCCCAAGGTGTTCCCTGGCCAGATGAGAGACATAGTCCCTCTTGCATGTCCTGGGTCTTCCTTTAGGTCTCCTCCTGGTTAGACGTGCCTGGAAAATCTCACCAGGGAGTCGTCCAGGAGGCATCCTAACCAGATGTCTGAGCCATCTCAACTGGCTCCTCTGGATGTGGAAGAGCAACGGGTCTACTCGGAGCCCCTCCCGGATGACCGAGCTTCTCACCCTATCTCTGAGGGAGAGCCCAGACACCCTGCAGAGAAAACTAATTTCGGCCGCTTGAATTTGTGATCTCATTCTTTCGGTCACTACCCAAAGCTCATGACCATAGGTGAGGGTAGGAACGTAGGTCGGCTGGTAAATCGAGAGCTTTGCCTAAAAATGAAAATAACAAACCAAAATAACTTCTAAGAGAAACTCTGGCGATGATGGACCTCTGGAAATAGGCACCTCTAAGTGGTAAAAGACAACCTGTTGCAACTTGAATGGTGTTTGGTGAGATCTGTGTCTAGGTTCAAGGCTAAGAGCATGCAAATCATTCCATAGCACACTTTTAGTGACTTACAGTACAAGCACCATTTCATAAACCTGGATGGCAGAAGCAGAGGTGCACCCATGGTTTGGACCATGGATGTTGCTTCTTCAATGAGCACTTAAGCAGGACTAGCCATGCCGACCTCACACAATCTGCATCGTGCTCGAGCCGTGTCATTAAGCTGCTGTAAGAAAGCCGAGCTGGATGATGGATCACTGTGAGGATCTGCTGCTGATGTTTATTGCAATGAGGGACCAGGAGGCTGTCTGAGGGAAATAACTGAGAAAAACCTTCTTTGAGACTAGTATAAACACATACTTCTCTAATTTGTCACAATCCAACTAGGTTTTAATATGTTATAAAGAAAGTAACAGCATCTTAATCAAATGTGAAGTGGGTCTCATGCTGCGTGGCGTGTTGGCAGGACAACAGTACAGTTATACAAATATCTTTGAAGGTTCAAGTAAATCAAGTCCTTGGTTTCCAGAAAAGCCCCAAAACTGAATCAAAAACGTCATTCTATGTATCCAACAATGCATTACATATGTACTCTAAATAATAACTATAAAGTTCTAGTAAAGTTTGTACCACAGTTGCAAATAAAGCTATAAACATTTTGTGACCATTACAATCCTATGCCTCAATTTTTAATGTGAGTGATCTAACTAATGTGTCATTCCCTTGTGAACGCCCCCTTTAGAGTCATAAACCATGTAATACAACGGTTTCCACACACTGAGTAATAACAATCATACAAAATAAACCGACCTTTGTTTATGAAGAGTGGCGTCTCCCATTAAGTATCTCAGAACACGCTCCACGTGCTTCGACTTCTCCCTAGGTCATGCTAAGGCAAGTATTAGTAGACCTGTGGTTCTTAAAGGTTTTACGAGCACCACCTCAGGGAATGCTAAAGTGTCCAATCACCACTTATTGTGGCAGACAGTAATAGCCCCACACGTTGTGATCCTGGCTCTTCTTCTGTCCCAGAATAACTCATTAGAAATCTGAGAGAAGTGAGTCAAGTTTCCTCACAGTTTCACACATTTTCTTGCTCATAGGTCCAATAAAAAGCTTTACTGGCACATTGGTAAACTATCTATAATTACACAAGGTTTTTTAATAAAGGAGCTTGCATCCCATCTTTTTAGCCATGTTTACTTAGCACCTCATACGCTGGATTTTGATGGGATTGGTCTAATTGACTTGGAAATAGTCAATGCCAGCATTTATTCTGAATACCATTAAATGCATGCATGCATTTCTTAGCATTCATGTTGATTGGTTGATACTTAATTATCCCCTTGAGAAAGTTGGCCCATCTTCGTGGGAGCAGTAGACCGGCATTTGAATAGCACCCAAGAGGTGACTTTCATGGTTTATGCCTTGTATTATGTGGCCAACTAGGGCTTGGGATCTACTCACCAGTGGACAACCACACTTCCCTTCTCAGCCACAGCCACACCATACATGCTTGGGTTCTCCGTGTTCTCTAGTTTCCCCCCGTAGAACAAAGAAATGTGCATTTTAGGATTATATGTTGGCATTATATGTACCTGTAAATTGTTTGAGTCTAGATTAGGCCGAATCCCACCTTGTTTATGTTTCTACCTGGTTTACAATGTAAAACATAAAAAAAAGAATATTAAACTCCTGAAAACTATATTAGAAAAATAAACAACTTCAGTATTTAGTAATGACAACAGACACCACTCTGACGGGTGTCTGCCGATCAGTAATGGCTTTTCAGCAACTACAGTCCAATTAAATCATCTGGTGAATTATGAGCTCAGCTGATTCTCTCATGAGGTCAAACATGAAATGAGCATTTACTGTGTAATCCCTAGTTTATCTCTTAATGGCCTATTTACACCTATAATCCAACATTCATTTCCCAGTGTAGCACACCCCATGGTGAACAACTTCAATGAGGTCAGGAAATGGATATCATACAGATATATTCATTCATTCTATATCTTTGGAAATCATATGAGTATCAAAAATCATCCAAAAATAAACTATTTTCATTGTTTGCAATCTAAGCATTGTTTAATTTGGCATGAAGTGTTTTCAATTGCAGCCGTAGAGTAAAAGCTATTTTAGAGGCGACAAAAATCAATACCAAAGAAAACACATTTAATCTGTCAGTGGTGATAAATGCTGTTTACTTATTATATTTGTTTTAATTATGTGAGTCAATAATACAAGATTTATTACCCTGCTGACTATTTTCCAATGGAATAAAAATTGCATTTTTATAGTTAAGAAAAATAAACTAATTATAGCAACATGCAAACAGCAATATCTCAGTCGAAACAGTACAGTAGCAAACTCCTGCTGTGACTCTCTCAGACCTCTAGTGCATGCAACTATTATGTTTTTTTTTTTTTTCAAGTAAAAAAAGGAAATAATGCTGAAAATAGCACAAGTCTGTTGTTTACGTTATTTTCAGTTCCAGGTGTAAAACTGTGGTACAAACACCTGCTGCCTTTTACTGACTTCCTGTCCAATAACACCTTACTGTCATCGTGCACCACAGAAATCACTAAAACCAGAAGATTGTAGCGAAGTCGTAAAAACAAACCAAAGTTTGTGATCGAAACGCCATCTCAGTGCCGCTTTACAAAGATCGCAGACAGTTCACAGCTCATGTGTAAATATAGAATTGTAAATGACAGTTGAGAAATGCTTGTGGTGCCTCGTTAATGACTTGTTAATTCGAGATGTGTTGTGTGTTTGCTGGTGCTCATTAGCCATCTGGAGACTGAAACTTACTTGTCCGGTGAACTGTGTCATTTTGAGCAATCGCTTGTTGACATGTACCGGATCAAAGGTATTCCGATGAATTTAGTGTTAGAGTTTTCAGCCATCAAGTGTGTTTCTGTGTAAGACCTACAGTTGACTCAGCTATTGCATTACATAGAGAAGTTAATCTTTCCAAGTCCAAGTCCAAGTCATCTCGAGTTCTTTAGAGTGCAGGTCCCATGCAAGTCCTAAACATTTGGAGTGAAGTCTAGTATTTAGATGGCAGGTCGTTTGAGAGTAATGAGGCTTTAGAGCAGGACAATTCAACTCTGGTCCTCCAGAGCCACTGCGTATATGTGTTCTACGTGTTCTATGTGTCCTTACACCAAAACACCCGGTTTGAATCAATGGATTATGAACAGACAGGCTCGTGGAGACATCTTGGTGATTTAATCTTTGACTAAGCTGTGTTGGAGCAGAGGAACAGCTAAAGCATGAAGGTAGAGGCCTTCCAGGGTCAGAATCAAAGAGCTGGAGCTCTTAAGCAGACAAGTCAAGCCTTACAAGATTGAAAATATTATCTCACCAGAAATTTACCTAAATGTAACTTACTTATAGAGTTTGCAGATATCTCTCTCTCTCTCACACACACACATACACACACACACACACACACACACACACACACACACACACACACACACACGCACACACGCACACACGCACACACGCACACACACACACACACACACACACACACACACACACACGCTATGCAGACGACACCCAGCTCTATCTGTCATTTCCACCGGACGACCACACTGTCTCTGCACGAATATCAAACTGTCTCTCTGACATTTCAAAATGGATGAAATCCCACCATCTCCAACTCAACCTCTCTAAAACTGAACTACTTGTCATCCCAGCAAAACCATCCATACAGCACAATATCTCAATCCAAAATGACTTCCTATCTCTGGCTCCTTCAAAGGCAGTTCGAAATCTGGGTGTTGTGATTGATGAACACCTGACCTTTAAAGATCATGTTGCCTCTGTTGCTCGTTCATGCCGCTTTTCGCTGTATAACATACGAAAGATCAGACCATACCTAACACAACATGCCACCCAGCTCCTGGTGCAATCTACTGTCATCTCCCGCCTCGATTACTGCAACGCCCTTCTAACTGGTCTTCCAGGCTGTACTGTGAGACCTCTTCAAATGGTCCAGAATGCAGCAGCGCGTCTGGTCTTCAATCAGCCAAAAAGAGCACACGTCACCCCTCTGTTCATTGAGCTCCACTAGCTACCGCTAGCAGCACGCATCAAATTCAAATTGCTAACACTAGCATACAAAGTCCGAGATGGTACGGCTCCCATCTACCTGAATCCTCTTGCAAAGGCTTACGTCTCGGCCCGGCCGCTCCGGTCATCACAGGATCGTCGGCTAGCAGTGCCTACACCACGCTCAGGACAATCCAGACTCTTCTCATGCATCGTTCTACAAATGTGGAATGACCTATCAAGCACTACCAGAACAGGGGCTTCCTTTTCAATTTTCAAGAAACTCC